AGCCTGTGCTCTCAGCTAACACTGACATACTAGGATTTACCTGAGCTGGACTCTTCTGGGTATATCCATCCAGATTCTCCAGAGAAACAGATTAGGGAGTTTGCAATTGATTCATGTAATCAGGGAGGCTAAGAGCCCCATGGGCTGTCATCCCCAAGATGCAGACCAGGGAGATTTAGGAACCAAAGCCTGAGAACCAGGAGCCCATGAGAAGATCCCAGCATGAGAGCTTAGCACAAGATAATGCCCAGCACTTCCTTCTCCCCTTGCTGCTCTGTTCTAGCCTCAGCAACCAGCTGGCCCCTGGCACTGGGGAGGCTGGCCTGGGTCACTGACCCAGAGGTATAGGGCAAGATTGTGATACTTCAAGGGTCCCCCAGCCACAATTGCCTGGCTCCATCCTTATGCAGGAGGAGGAGATATGTAAAGACTAGTCATGTGGGTACCTTGCAGAGGCCCCTGTGGACACAACTGTGCGGGCCCACAGATATCCAGAGGCGCAAGCCAAAGGTGAGGATAAGCCCTGAGGCTGTCACCTAGCCTTAGCAGGCATATCAATCCTAATGATTGCGGTTTAAAGGACAGACTTCATAGAGATGTGAACTGAGCAGGAACTCCTCACTGATGCCCCAGGACCTTCACTGTGGCACTGGCACTATCTTTGTCAAAGCCTGGACCTAGACCTGCTCCTACCAACTGTGACCATCAGCGCTGGGTTTGAACCTGGATGCTATCTGAATCGATGAGACCCCAGGGGGCAAGAGTCCTGTGTTCTGGTCCCCAGATGGTGTCCCAGGGGCTTAGCAGGCTGCTCCACACACAGGGATGCTCTGTGCATCCCACATTTAGTGGAACTGAGTGTCCTGGACCCATCTGTCCTGAACTTACCTGTCCTAGATGCATCTGTCCTAAATCTGTCCTGAACTCAGCTGTCCTGGACCCAGAAGGAGGACTTGAGTACCCTTCCAGGACTGTGAGATCAACCCTGCTGTCACTGCGGCAGCCCTTTAGCTCTATGGTATTCCTAGAGAACCTACAGATCTTTAAGCAACAATTTTTTTTTTCTTTTTGGTACTAGAGGTTGAACCCAAAGCCTTTGCTCTGAGCTACATCCCAAGCCCTTTGTTTATTTTTATTTTGAGACAAGATCTTGCTAAATTGCTAGATTGTCCAGCCTGGGCTTGAATTCACAATCTTCCTGCCTCAGTCCCCAGAGTGCTGAGATTACACATGCCCACCACTCCATGCACTGCTTGAGCAACTTTAGGAAGCTTTCTGGAAAAGTCTGTCATGTCTGCCTGTTGGTCACATCTCTATGAAGTCTGTCCTTTAAACCGCAATCATTAGGATTGATATGCCTGCTAAGGCTAGGTGACAGCCTCAGGACTTATCCTCACCTTTGGCTTGCGCCTCTGGATATCTGTGGGCCCGCACAGTTGTGTCCACAGGGGCCTCTGCAAGGTACCCACATGACTAGTCTTTACACATCTCCTCCTCCTGCATAAGGATGGAGCCAGGCAATTGTGGCTGGGGGACCCTTGAAGTATCACAATCTTGCCCCATACCTCTGGGGCTTCTTTTGGCCCAGAATTTCAGTGTGGGCCACCCCTGCCTGTCCATCCCTGCTTCTGTGCCGCTGCCCCCAAGCCTTCTGCACAGAGGCAACTGGAGCTGTGGGCTGGGACTCCTGCAGCCTACAGCCTGCCTGAGATCACCCCCCCCACACCCCTCACCCTCCTGCCATCACCACATCGGATCAGAAGAGGCCACTGCCTGGGAGGAGGCCTGGGCAAATGGGTGTCTGTTCTCTCCCTCTCCAGCTGGTCTATCTCCCTCTCTAATTCTGTCTTTCCTATCCTCTGTTCAGCTCTTCCAGCTCTGCCTGGGGCCCACCTCTCTATCTTTTGAAGATCAAAAACAAACTTTACTTAGCCTTGCAGACACACAGGGAACTTTAGATGCAATCCTGGAACATCTCTGCTCCAGCTAGCCAGTCCAGTCTCACCCCTAACCACAGCAAGTTCAGGAGAAGGGCAGCCACAGGCCAGTTACCCAGTGCTCGGGTGCCACCCCACTTCCAGGAGAGGACTTGGCTTTGCTAGAGCTGGGAGCAAAGAGGCTGCCACTTGCCAGGCATCACAGCAGGGTCCAGCAGCAGAGATGGCCCAGTCTTCATGCTTGTCTTTCACCAGGAACAAGGCCAAACTGAGGCCAGGAGTCCTCTGAGGCTGCTCAAGGGGCGTGGCCCAGGGCACATGGCCCCACCCAAGTTGATACCTTGCAGTGTTCCCTGGCTGTGTGGGAAAGAGGCCTTTTAGCAAGGATGGGGTGGGGTAGTGGGAAGTTGGCAAAGGCCAGCGCCCCAGTGTTGCTGACCGTGGCACACTCTCAGCTGCCCCATGGTAGGTGTGCATGTGTGTGTTACCAGGGATTGAATCCAAGGCCTTTGCACTGAGCTGCATCTTCAGCATTTAAAAAAAAAAAAGTTTTAAATTTTGAGACAGGGTTTCACTGTCACTAAAGTTGCCCAGGCTGGGATCATCGCCGTCCTTCTGCCGCAGCCTCCTAAAGTGCGGGGACTGCAGGCGTGCCAGACTGTCTGCGGCAGGTCTTCAGATTTTCTGCTGTACCAAACGACGCTCCAGGGAAACAAGAAATTAAGGCATCTCGAGGCTGCGCCCTGAGGCTCCTGGACGAGGGGCGTGGCCGGTGAGGTGCGGAAGGATGAACTCAGGCTGGAGCGTAGGGCTCCTTCCCCTCCCCTGCCCCGCCCCGCCCCAGAGTGGACCCCGGGACTTGGGGACCGCAGCCTTTGTCCTGCGCAGTCCGGGGAAGGACACCTGCTCGCCACAGGCCAGGGCCGCGGTGCGAGGGGCGGGCGGGCGACACCGTCCCGACTGCGGCTCCGCTCGCACGCGATCCGCGCCTTGCGTGACGACCTTGGCCACAGGAGGAAGCTGGCGGCACGCGATGGGGCTGGGGTGGGGGCAGGGCGGAGCGGGGCCCCTCCTCTGGGGCCACACAAGACGACCCCGGGCGGCTGTGTCCGACTTTGCACTCGGGTGGCCCGCCTGGGGGCACTGTTCTCTGCAGCCCGGGCATTGGGGTCGCAGCACCCGGTTCATCCAGATCCCTCCTAGCTCCCGGAGATACGCGGCGAGGCCGCCACCCATCCACTCCACGGGGCAGTGCAGCCCGGCCAGGGGCATCAGTCCTGCTCCCCTACCAGCGGCTTGTTTCTGCCCAACGGTAGTGGGGATCCATGGGTGGATGCCTCAGACTAAAGCTCCCCGGGGCTATGGGAAACTGGGGACCCTCCCTGGGGAGCTGTGGGGACCCCTGGTCTGTGCCTATTTTCAGGATGGCCCAGCCACAGAAACCCAGTCTCACCAGGGAGACCGGGGTGTGGGAGTGATGGCTCCTGGTGTGTGTGTGGGAAACCCCAGGGGGCAGCCCTCTGTGCCTCTAGTCCTTGTCTGCATTCTGTACTGTGGCAGTGGAGGCAGCAGCCCTGGAGAATGTCTAGAGTGTCCTGTGCACCTGAGGCAGCCCCAGTCCCAAAGGGAGGAGGGTTATACCTATCTGGACCCAGAATATGCAGAGAGGGCCCCCAAATGAGTTCTGCATGTCTGACAGGCTCTGCCAACGCCCAGCAGCGAGGTGTGGCCACCAGGGTGGCCCAAGGAGAATGCAGATCATGCTCAGTTCACATGGACAAGTTGACAGGTTATGGGAGGCCCCTCAGGACAGGAAAGCGTGGGGTCACAGTGAGGTGCAGGCTGCAGTTGTTCAGAAGGCTGCCCAGGTGATGCTGGGGACGCTCCTCCCGCCTGAGTGACTGTGAACTACAGAACTTTCATTCAAGTATTGCTTTTATTTCTTAATAATATGCTTAGCAGCCTCTTCCTCTCCAAAATGTGGTGGGCCATGAGTAGATGCTGAGAAGCTTCCTTAAGCACTCTGGTCCTCACTAGCTTGATTTCTCTGGGCAGTGGAGGTTCTGTGTGCAGCACATCTTGGTCAGGGTCAAGCTTAGTGGGGCAGTGAGGGGTCAGAGGATGCTGCCTTGGAAGCAAAGCTCTGTGACAGCCCTGATGCTTACGGGGACCCAAATCAGTGAAATTGACTACCTCAAGACAGCTGCTCTTGAGTGGAAAAGTTCATGACTAGCTCATTATCCAAAGAAAATGCAGAGTCATATCATATCCCAGGGTGAAAACAAGCAACCGGGGCATGTCTTCCTGAGTGGATGGAGACACTGGACTGGGGTTGCAAGTATCCACCTGCAGCTTTCCTCCATAGTTTGAGAAACAACGGAAACTACCAGGCTTCCTTGGAGGCAAAGCCATGAGGGGCCGTCTGAGCCACCCTGGGGCTCCTGGGTCAGGCCCTTGCTTGGACCCTCTCTTGCCTGGATGGTCCCCACCATTCCACATGCCAATTTGGGTACTCACTGTGGAATCAGGCACCCAGCTGGGTCCAGAAACCAGCACTCAGCAGCTGGGATGGGAACGATGTCTATCTGGACCCTGAGCTCTTCAATGCAGAGTGATCCGGCCATGCAGGGTGGGGAACTCACACTAGGAATCTCCTGTCCTCCAGGGAGTGGATGTCCTTGGGCACCTCCAGCCTGGGAGGGGACTATGGGCAGCTCACACACAGAGGCTGACAGCAGTGGCATGTTGGGTCCAGGTGACTGGGTCTTGCAGGGTGCTGTAAGACCCTAGGGCCCTTGTCATACAGGGGGACTTGGCAGTGCTGGGGAAGATGAGTACCAAGGGTGGTTTCCTCAAGGGAAGGCCCACTTCTGAATTCTGGTCACTCACCTGCTGCCCCTTGCTGACCTGGGAGCTGGGCCTGGCTCCTCCTGCCCCCTCTGTGGAACCACAGGCCCTTTGTGCAGGACAGCACCATGGCCATAAGTACAGCAGTACCTGTGGTGGAGCTGGAAAAATTTTAAGAACTGTACCCTTGCTCACCAGTCTGTTTCTCTCTGACAGCTGTGCAGGAGACGTGTACCCTCTCACCTGGAGACAGCCTGCGAGGAGGGACCCCTGTGCAGGAGGGGAGGCTGCTGCTGGAGGTAAGTGCCACTCACCACTGGGCTCTTACCCCAGCCCTCCAGTTTGCCAGAAGCCAGGACTCCAAGACATGCATGGATACTACAAAGGTGTCCTGAGGCTTTAGCTAGGGACAACAGGCTGCGGTCAGATTCCTGGTACAAAGCCTAGGTGAACAAGGCTGTCCATGACCTCAGCCAGGTCTGTCAGCCTGCATTCTGCATCCTCTAGTTTTACTCCCCCCAATGAGAGAAAACCTGATGAAACATCAAGGCATTTCTCTTCCATTATACCCTGCCTACAATCCACCCTCCTGTGCCCTACCCTCCACCCTCCTTACCTCCACCCTACTGTCTATCCTCCTCACCTCCACCCCCTACACTTTACTCTCCATGTCTCCATCCTTCACTCTCTACCCTTGAGGAAGCAGACCTCATACCCTGCAATGCTCCTGATATTTCTACTTACCAGTCCATTTTCTGAAACCCTGTATGTGCCGGCTAAGGCCATGTCTCTTCCTGAGGCCTCTCCTACAGGCCTCAGGCCTGGAGAAATACCATGCTGGTCCCAGCTGAGCCATAGCGAAGCTTTTCTGGCCTCCCTCAGCAGCTCCTTGGGGCCTGGGAAACCAGAACCTGGAAGTGGGGGATAGGTCAACTGGATTTCCATATCCTGCTGCCCTGCAGCATAAGGATGCTTCTGTAACTTCTCACTTATGGTACTTTCTGGGGAAGTCTTTAGAAGAGGCCCTGGCCTTAAGGTCCCCTGGAGCCTACACCCTCAATTGGGTCCTCAGCCAGCCTAGAACTGTGGTCACCCAACTCGGCTGGAGTTGCTTGGTTCCCATAGAAGTGAAGAAACAAGTTCCAGATCTACCAAATGGGTTCATGGCCCTGTGGTGTTCAGAAGTTTCTAGAAGTTTGCTTACTCATATTTCAGGGCAGAGATTCTCAGACTTCAGGGATCCACATTCTTTCTGAAGTTTAAAAATATCCCCCAACAACAAAATAATTCAGGCAACCCAAACAATCAAATATGGCTTTTACTCCTAGTTTTCAGTCTCTTTAGGACAAACTGGGAAAGGAGAGGTTCATGGCCGGCATCATAAGTTCATAAGAAACTCAGAGCTGGTGTAGGGCCTGAGGGCAAATGTCTGTTATTTTTACATCAAGACAAGAAATTGGACCAGGAAGATAGTTTAGTGGCACAGCACTTGACTGGCAAGTACAAGATCCTGAGTTTGATTCCCTATACCAAAAAAAAAAAAAAAAAAGACCATAAATTGGAGCCTTCAAGATCAAATGAAGGCCGTGGGCCTAGCCTTTCTGTTCTTGATCATCAGGCTCACTGGGCTCCACCTGAGGCCACTACCCTGAGGCTGCCTTGGTGCACACTTGGATACAGGTGCTGGCTGGTGGCAGAAGAGTGACAGATGGGAGGTTGGGAGGGGAGGGAAGGTTCTGGAAACACCCATGGATAGCACTGTGCCATGTACAGCTCTGTCACTCAGCAGAGTGCATCTGAGGTCCATCTGCATCCCTAACAGGGAAGGTTTTATGACGTGGACAAACTGTGTGTGTCCATTCACCTCAGAGGGACATTTGGGTGGTCTCCAGTTCTAGGGTTTCTGGACAGACCTGTGAGGAGCACTCACATGCAGGTTTTCCTGTACACACAGATCTCACTTCCCTTGAGACATTCACCCAAGGCTGTTGCACCCTGTAGCAGGTTTTTCACTGCGTAAGGAATGACCCAACTGTTTTCAGAACTGGTCTACCAATCGTCCTGCACCCTCACAGTGACAGTAGTGGCTCAGCACCTGTGGCATTGCACTTGGTTTTATCTTTTGCCAAAGCCACTGTACTACCAGTAGGTGTGTCCTGAAATTGCATAGTGTCAGCCTGTGTTTCCCCATGACCAAGTATGTCAAGAGTCTTTTCTTCTGTGTTTTTGCCATCCATATGTTATCTTTGCTAAACTGTTTGCATATTTTCCTAACATAAGACATCAGGCTATTTGCCATTTTACTGTTCAGTTTAGAAAATTCTTTATGGATTCTGACACATGTCTTTTTTTAAATGTGTGGTTTATAAAAGTTTTCTCCCAGTCTGTGGCTTATGTTTTCATCATCTTGACTGGGTGATAGGAAAAATGAAAGTGTTTAATTTTGATGAAGTCCAGTTTATCTGTTTCTTTTTTTGTAGGTCATAATTTTGATGACGTGTCTAGAAGCTCTTTACCTAACCTATGTTTACAAAGATTCTTCTTTTGTTTTTTTCTAGTTTAACCTTTTATATTCTCTGTATTCTCTGGGTTGACACTTTCACCAGTATCAAACTGCCAAACTTAAGCAAGTGTAATTAATTTTCACATCAGATAGTTTGAGTCTTATAGTTTTTTCTTTTTCAGAATTGTCTTGGCTACTCTAGCTCCTTTGTCTTTCCACATATATTTTAGAATTAGCTTACTGATATCTACAGAAACTCCCAAGGGGGTTTTCCTGGAATTGTTAAACCAGTGATTTAGGAGATCCACCCACAACATTACGGCCTCAGGATGGTGGTCTGTCCTTTTAGTTAGGTCTTTAGCTATTTTCATTAGTGTTTCTTAGTTTTCCACACATAGATTCTGCATGTTTGTGTTAGATTTGTACCTAAATATTTTATATTTTTGTTTTTTGTATAAATGGAACCTTAAAATTTTTCAGTGTTTCGTTGCTAATATATAGAAATACAGGCTGGGGATATAGCTCAGCGGCATAAGCGCCTGCCTGGCAAGCACAAGGTCCTGAGTTCTACTCCTGGTACCAAAAAAAAAAAAAAGAAAATATATGGAAATACAACTAGTTTTTCTAGGTTTACCATTTATCTTGTGACATTACTAAACTTATTAGTAGTTCTTGGAGCTTTTTTATAGAATCTATGGGATTTTTTACATTGATTAACATGTCATCTAAGATTAGAGAGAGTTTTTTCTTTGTCCTACCCATTGCATCTCTATGACTTCCAGGGCCATCTCAGATTGGTGAAGAGGACATCTTTGTCTTGTTCCTGATCTTAGGGTGAAAACTTTAGTCATTTAATGTTAAGTGTGGTACCAGCTTAGGTTTTTGGTTTGCTTGCTTGTAGATGACTTATCAAATTTTCCTCTATTCCTTATTCTGAGAGTTTATATGAATACTTTATGAATTGGTTTTACTGAATCTGTTGAGCTGATCATGGTTTTTCTTCTTTAGTCTGATAATATTGCAAATTACACTGATTTTCAATTGTTAACCAATCTTGCATTATTAACATAGGTCTCATTTACATGCTGCTGGATTCAATTTGCTGATATTTATGGAATGTTTATGTCGGTGTTCATGAGAAATACTTCTTGTAGTCTTGCTGTAGTATCTCTCTGCTCTTGGTGTAATGGCGGGGCTGGTTTCCCAGAATTGGTCCAGGATGTTTCCTTCTCCTTCTTCAGGAGAGGATTGTACAGAATTGGCATTATTACCTCTTGAAGTGTGTTTGGCTAGTCTTGGTGTTTTTTAAAGAAGATTTTTCAAACTGAATTCAATTACTTTAGCAAGTATAAAACTTTTATAGTGATTTTTGTGTTACTTTTATGAGTTATGTCTTTTGGGGAATGGATCATTTTCGAAAATCTGCCTTGTTGAATGTGTAGGTGCACAGTTAGTCCTGATGTCCTGTGTTAATCTTGGTTTTTTATTTTTTTCTGGGTTAATCTTTGAATGTCTGTAGTTTCTGATTTCTCTCAGTTTTTCTTGGTCAGTTGGTTTCAAATTCTGTCCATTTTATTGATTTTTTTCTAAGAAGCAACTTGTTTTCGTTGAGTGTCTTCATTGCTTTTGTTTCCAGTTTTACTAATATCTGCTCTTATCTTTATTATTTCCTTCCTTTTGTTCAGTTTGGATTTAACTTCCTGTCCCCTTTCTAGTTTTTTTTTTGAAGGTAGCAGTTTAGGTTTTTACATTTGCCACACTTTTGCTTATTGCTTAATTTTGTCTGTTTGTTTTCTGTTTAATTAATTTCCATTCTTACATTTGTAATTTCTTTCCATTGCACTATGAACTTAATTATTTGATTTTCCTTTAGTTTCCTAAGATTGGAACTTAAATAGTTTATTTCAAATCACTTTGACTTTATAAGCATTTAATGCTATAAATTTCTGTCTAAGCCTTTAACTGCATTGCACAAATTTTGACATGTTGTATTTTCGTTTTCATTTAGTTCAAAATACAGGGTTCACCAAAAAATGTTTATGCACATCAGGAAAAGAAAATCTTGTATAAATATTTTAATACTGAATTTATTGAAAGATTATGAGATTAATACAAGCTGCCTTTGTAGGCCTCTGCAGTTACAAGAGGTGCTCAAAGTGGTGGCCAGGAGCTTCCAGATGTTTATTAGCACAGCGACCTGAAGTGTGGATACATGTTTTTGTTGGACTCTGTGTTTTCTAATTTTCTGGTTTTTTTTCTTGCGGTGGGGGCAGGGGCTGTTTCCGGGAATCAAACTCAGGACCTTGCACTTAGCAGACAGGCACTTACGCCACTGAGTTACATCCCCAGCCCTATTTTCTAATTTTCCTCTGGACTTTCTGTTTGACTTATGAGTTATTTAAAAGTATGTTGTTTAATTTACAAATATTTGGAGATTTTCCAGGTATTTTATGTTATTGAATTGTAATTGAACTTCATTATGGCCAGAGAACATACTTTTTCATGGTTTTTATTTTTTCAAGTTTGGGAAGGTGATTTTTTTTTTTTTTTTTATTTTAAAGAAAAAAACCCCCAGAATTTCAAAATAAAATAATGGGAGAGTAAACAATAGTAATATATTATGTATTGTTATCTTCAAAGTAGTTGTTATCTTCAGAGTACAAGATATAGGCATGAAAAATTGTCCAAATGATATTAGTACAAACGTTTCTTTTCAGTGAGCTAAGAGAAATTAGTAATATAACTATTTTATCTATCTTGTATTTTTTTCTTTTCCTGGGAAAGTGATTATATGAC